TCTCATTGACATCTTCGTCGACGCGGTACGAGCGCGCATGTTGCTTCAACGGACGGCAGTCCACGGAGACCACCGTTCGCGTGCCTTCCTGCAGAGGAATGTTAAGCAGCAGATGGGAAATCTCCTGCGCCGAATAATCCCTCTCGGTAATCAGCTTATTCATAAGGCAAGAGGAGAAGGATAATAGGGGCTGAAGATGCGCAGTGTGTGGAAAAACCTGGTCCGCAAGCTTACAGTAAGGCTCTGTCTTCTTTTCGGATTTGCTGCAATACTTCGCCGCATACGTGATTACCGCCTCTAAGCTGGTGCAAGGAGATATGTCGATATTGGCTATCCAGCCTAGGATAATGGCGGGATTGAAGTGGTTCATGAGGTTGTCATTCCGCGCCGCTTCGAAAACGTAGTATGACTTGTCTTCCTTCCTGATAACTGTTGAACGTCACAGCGGAACGCAGATGAAAAGAGTGCGTTGATTCTGTAAGCTAGAGATGCCGCCAAGGCACGCTATTTATGGAAGGCGCAGGCTGTGTCAAGATCAAGTCGCTCATTCAAGGCAACAGTCATTGCTATACTGCTGCCTGGTAATAAGTATTTAGTTTCGTATTATTCCACTCTTTATGTAGGAAATCAAGAGAGTCTTTCATTTTGTCCAAGCTGTACCAAACAATCGTGCTGTGCGACAGGCTGGACCCTGCACGTGATGCTGTTTCATGTTCAACAGGAACATGCCAGAGGATTCCAAATCGGGCCTGCGGACGAAGGCGATTGGCCCATGTGGCAGGGGGCCCCGTGCGAATTTCGGGTTGGGGCAGAGAACCTCTCGGAACTTCTTTCCTCAAGGCATTACACAAGAAGTTGGCATCATCGTGATGGCTTCGAGCCGTAGCGGATTTGAGATGAACCGAAAGGAGCCGACGGTAAAGCATGGCAAGATATCCTCTCAAAACCTGAACTAACCTTTGCAGTAGTTCAGGTTGAAGCCAAACCAAAGAAAAAGAAAAAGACAGTGTTCTCACGAGGCTCAATACAGCCTCGTTGAGGTGCTGCCGCCAGAAATTCTTATTAAGGTGTTGAGATATTTGGCATACGAAGACCTAATTTACTTATCTACACTAAGCCGATCTTTGCTCAAGAAGGTCGATCCAAGTATAGCCTCATGCTGCGACAAGTGCATATTCGTTTTGAAAGCGGAGACAGAATTCAATCAGCACCAACCAAATGAACAGAACCCCCTAGGCAATTTTGGCTGCTACTGCTGCTATACTGTTCAAAGCCCGGGGTCATTCGGTGAAATCGAAAAGGCAACGTTTTTCCCCGAGGGTATTACGGCACATCCTCAGCGGATGTGCGAACGGTGTAAAGCGGATCAGCAAGCGGCCAGCATCACTCCAATAGAAGGACGTTCCTCGATAACTGCTTCCCAGAGGGTGGGTTCATGCCAAGTGTGCCTTGCTGTGCTCAGCTCACTCAAGTATACGTGGACTCTGAAGAGAGGTTTAGCAAACAATAAGAAAAGGCTGCTGCAGAACTACATACCGGATCATTGGAGGACAGAGGAGTCGCGCAAAACGCCACAGCTGGGGCGTGATTAAATGGCTTGAGCACAAGGTAGTTACCTTCTCTCCTACTTGGTCAGTGACCGTCAGTCCAAGTACATATAGATCTGTTGTTCTGTTTACTACGAAATTTACACTATTTTCAATGACACATCTTGAGCCTTGCTTCCGAGCAATGTAGAGTTACGACTGATTTAATTTGTTCTTCAACATTGGGTGGCTTAGCTGGTTTGCGATCAATGCAAGCTCATACTTTTGATGTCTGCAGACATGCCATTAGAACCCAGGTGTGAGACGCAATTTCGGGCTAAGAAAGTGTCCCAAGGAGCTATGAAAAGGATATGTCATTCAATTTATGGTACACTTTACGCAAAATATGTGATATGCACTCGATGATTAGTATTTATACCTGGCCATCTCCGTGCGCTATCTGGCTCACTCACCATTACCTGTCACAGTGTCACGTTATGAGACTCATTGTTAACTAAGCTTCTTTCACAAAATTATTATTGTTGTTGTTCGAGCTGCAGACTCCGTTTGCAGCTATCTTCTAAATACCAAAAAACTTCCTTTCGTCCGAATTTAACTTTCGGCTAAGTTTAGACATGATAGCCGACGCTATGATAACACACCAAGCTCTGCGACTTCAGTCTACAGAGGCGTTATCCGACAGTTTCATCTTCTGTGGTACAGGCAGTATTAACTGTCTAGACTTTCAAGCATATCATATTTACTCGTACGTTGATACAGTCTTTGTCCTTTTCCTCGCTCTTAACACTTGATGCGGAAGACGACCTTGGATCGGCATATCGCATGCCGCAGCGCCTGCGTTTCAGCTGTCAACGGAATATAAGGGGGTATAATTGTTCAACAATAGAGCGCGTTCTTTTTGTTGACATCGGCAGAGGCTGCAGCTCCTCACCATCATTGACCATCTCCGATTCAGACAACCGCCTCCGTATGCCAGACTGTCTCCAACGACCCGCCCGTCGCATTCCTGTCTGCCTGCCCGCCCCACGCGTTGAGGTCTTAGTTTTGCGCTGTTTATTGACACTGGTCTTGCCGCTACTCGACCTCCACGGCATTCACGCCCTGCCTGATTAATCTCCATGCTCTCGGTGACAGGTTGTGTTGTATTTGTCGGCCGTCCTCGAAGATTTGTAACGATCTTGGGATCGAGAATTTGGCGGTAAGGATTCCGAGAAGTGGGCTCTCTCAGGTGTTGCGTCAAAAAGAGCAAAACTAAAGGTCTACTGAATTCCTTCTATTAGCACTAGTTAATAGTAGCCTAAATTCTATGCGACATCAGGTGCCACCGAGGATGAACATCCCATTTCGTTAAGATGGATCCCGCTTCCAACTTCTTATAAATCGTAAGCAAGGAATTCCCAGCTGCCAGGATACAGTACAGGATTCATTACAATTTCCGATAGATTCTGGCCAAGGGCAGGACCTGCTACGTATAGATTTTAAAGCGCGTCGATGCTCTTTGGCCACAAGCTTAATCCCTGCCTGGGACATTACAATGCGCAGCTCCCCCAGATATTCTGATCCAGGTCCTGAGTACACTCTTCCAGTTAACACTTCGTCCTGCGAGCAGTTATCGACGAAGTCTCGCTCCTGATCAGTTAACATGCCCTCTATCGCTTTAACAAGCCCGTACCGGTGACTTGTGCCATTCAGCAGATAGCTCTTGACGTTGTTGTTGCTTGCCTCCGTGCCGGAAGTCACTCGAACACCAAAATTACGGTATTTCTTGATAAAGCAGTGAGCCCATTGCGAAGCTATGGGTAGATAGGTATTGTAAAGATATATCAGAATGGCCTGCTGGTCATTGAACTCTTCGCATAAGCGCACCCAGGCCTTTTCGTAATGTTCCTTAGTCTCTGCAAAGACTGCATACTTCCACAATTCAAGGACTCCTCGATAGTTGTGTGCCACAGGCAACATCAGGGAAGCCTGGGAAAGGGGACCACCGTGCTCGCACTGAAACATATATCGGGTCTTCTGCACACGACTTCCGGAACCATTGTGTCTAACGACACCAAATCCGTTTTCTTTTGCAAACTTGTTCACTTGCGCTTGAAGAGAATCGATCGATATGGCAGCATGGCCGGGGACTGGTGGGTTTTGGATAGCACAACTTGACTTTGACTGCTAGATTCCGTATCAGAGTAGCCGCTAGATTCTTCGTGCTCTTCCCGGACACGGCTAGGCAGTGTAATCTCGGACGTGGACGAAGTCGATGACGAAGGCGACATTTCTGAAGAAATCCCTCGCGAACCGAGTCTTTGACAGTGTTTAAACAACACAGCAGCCAGTGAGGAGTCAGCTTTTGCTTGCTCCCGGGCAAATTCCAAGGCAGGCTGAAACTGAGCCTTGTTTCCTGAACGCTTGCTGCCTTCTGTTGCCTTCTCTTGCTCCCGGAGACGTCGTCTTTCAATCTTGTCTGGGTCTGGAATCGCTGGCGTAAATATTCGTCGAGTTCCTGAGCCTCGGAAACAGTCGTCCAAGTAGATTCGCGACTGTCTCAATTCCCAGTAGTGTTCATCAATTCCGCGGTTGCCGTGTGGCTTGCGAAGGCTACTAAAGAAGCTACCTGGCCAAGTTGCAAAACGATTATATGGCGCATTATCGTCTCCAGCGCCCTAATGTGTTTAACAGACTGGAAAGCTCGCAAAAAGATACGTGCTTGCAAATGCACCGGTACATGCACAGTCTTAAATTAGCATTCATAAACGGATGTCTCTGCATGTCTTGAATTGAGAGCGTCCATGTCCGCTTCTACCCGCCAATAAACACCTGATGCAAGAATATTGTTAGATTGATAATATTCTCCCTCCAAACCGAAACTGGGCGAGTACTGGCATTGATACGAAACATCTCGTATAATAAAGCAGTCCAGAATGCATGTGGAATATAGATGGACTTTCATTTTCTGCAGTTGAGTCACCCACCCCCCCTTTGCCAGGCCATCGTCAATCTCTTCATCACTTTTCTCGTACTTGACTCTGGCCATCAGAAACATGTCTCATCACAGATCCTCTCTTCCATGTAGGTTTGTGTATCAATGCTCGCAAGTAGCTGCCGCACGTTTGCCGAATTTTTCTAAATACACCCTTTTCTCCGAAGAATCACTCAAACATCTCTGTAGATGGCTACGCTGTAACCTGGCCAAGAACAGCCCAAACCCGCGAATTTGCCAAGTATTATTCAACTCTTGGAGCAAATCTTGGAACACTTTCCTCAACTGGCCATCGATCTTTGCAAATACAGGCACGGACTTTCTGACCATGTTTCGAACAACCATTACGGCTCGCCGCTCGAATATGGCCATAAAACCTTTCATCGTGAAGGAAGACCATGTAAACTGAGTGCCGTAGTTGCTGGGCCACATTCGTTCCATGGACTTGTTGTATAATGTCGAGACAATCAAGCAGGTAACGGCGCTTCTCTTGATTTAAATATTCGCGCGATGATTGGTGGTCATATAAATTCGATCGACCAGATCCGGTAAGAAAGATCCTCTGCAAAGGGAAAACGCCGACGATAATAGTCTCATTCATGCAGATGCCAGCAATTTTCGAATACCTTTTTAGAAACGTCTTCGCCCTATCAAAAATCCTCCAGTCTGTAACGTCATTGACTTGGACAATAAGACTTCTCCCTACAGCAGTTCCAACATGACTAGTCGGTATTGAAACAGTGCCTAGTGTCAACACAGACTTGACAGTTTTGAATACATACACCAGCTTTCCCAGCTCATCCATTGTTGAGGGTTGATCTTGCGCACGCGCTGCGCTCAAAAACACCCTCCATTTTGCAGCTTCGGGCCCTTTAGATGTCAACGCATCAATCACATCGTCGACGGTTGGTACACTTCCTGCAGCAGTCTTCATCTTGAATATTTTAGTCGCCTCTTCGGTCCCGGAGTTGAGCTTCGACGGTTTGTACGCTTCCTGTAACAGTCTTCATCTTGAATATTTTAGTGGCCTCCTCGGTTCCGGAGTTGACTTGTACCTGAACGTTCAAACCAACAAGACCTCGGTCGTCCATTGCCGATCGGATCATTTCGGTCATCACGGCGCCGAGCTGGCTCTTTCTTAAGTCCATTGCACCCATCCACGTTTGCACGTAATCACCGTCTACCAATCCCTTCTGAAGAAGACTGCAAGCTTTCCAATAATATTGAAAGTCCGGTATATCTAGGTTGACGACAACTCCAGTGTCTTGACTTTCGAGACGACCGACTATATCAGCAATGGTGGCTGACAGCCTTGCAATAATCTCGAGCTCGTACATCGTCGGGTCAATGCTAGGCAATGGCGGAATTAGTGCCTCATTTGTAACAGGGACCCCTGATTCATCATCTTTCGGCGGTGCCGCGAGCCTGGCTCTCGAGAACATGCACATTCCAGTGTCAATGGTGATATTTGTAAACCCGCGCGAACTCGCCAATACATTAGGCTCAAAGTTAGGTCGATGTGAGCCTAGCGTTTTCGGCGACTCAGGATTTATAACGCACAGACGTGTCTCAAAGTATGGCTTTGAAATATATCCATTGCGGTATTCAAATTGGACGCCGGTGAAGATGTTTGTCATTTCTGATTCCTTTGTCTCATTGGATGAGCTAGGACGTGATATGAAACCATCCGGCATAACCTTTGCAGCGACCTGTCCTGGGGGGACGCATGGATGCGACTCAAATGTGTTTCCGGTTCCGAGAATTCCGAGTAGTCTGCTGAGTGAGGATATTCCCTTTTCAATTCGCCTATCGAAGAGACAATCGACTCTTCTCTCATTAAAGAATATATATCCTGGAGCATCCGGAAGGACTTTGGTGCCGGTGGCAAGTCCACCCAGATTGAAGTTCACGACGTTAGACAGTCCGTTTCCCAGCTCATGAATCAGGGATATACCTGTCAGCTTCTCACAAAACATCCTGTACTGAAGGGTATGTCGGTTGTGAGATGTTCGTGGTGTGGGCAGATTCCGATGAAATTTTCCTAGCTATGGATGAAAAATTAAAGAAAATGGAAAATCCAGAAACATATCCAGGAACCAGTGGATACTCTTTCTGTCCAAGATCCTGTGCTGTTGTTCGTCGTTACAGCCGGAACCCTTCACCCCGGCATGCAGGAGGAAAGATCCCTTAGTAAGGCCCTAAGCACGTCTGAACAATGGGGAAACATGCATGGGGAGAAACCCTATCTCCGACTCAAAGCAATTCATCTACCGTCGTACCAAGCAAACAGAGAAAGTGCTTAGGAATACGGACGGTTGCAACCCACGTTGGTCTGCCAAACTAGCCCGCTACTCGTCTTGTTACACGAGATAACTATTTATTGTTGCATTTGATCAGCACACACGAAGATCCCGGGCGGCTCTCGGCTCTATGATGGCCAGCCTTACCACATCGCACTCCATGGGCAACCCAGCGCTAACCAAGCAAAACCAACGTTTCAATCATAATAGTAGCAGCACATTTACAATCCTGTTTGTTGGTTGATCATTTAGCCTGTCCGTCGCGATACCGTGGACGTTGACCAATGGCATAGATGGAGAGGGTGCTCTACAAGCGGCAAAATACCGGTTCTCATCAACTCAGCAGTTAGAATGAGGCTCATTCGTTCATATGATACGTATTCTCGAACGTCTCATATGGGATGCGAGGGCGATGCATCCGACTGCCGCAAATGTACCAAACAAGGACAACTGGCTCTAAACTGCATTCCATCGTCAGACAAAGGTCCGCTGCCCAGAACATTTTTTCTGGACAAGATATTACAATATGGACACAAATTGTTGAACATGAAACAGCAT